ATTATAAACAGAAGCAGAGGTTAAAGAAAACCTCACATCTGATATTCATCTGTTGTTTCTGCATTTCCACATTTCTCTGCATGTTTCACAACTTTCAAACTGTCTCTTGACACGAAGCGGAATCGTTTCTTACAAGCTGAGTGTCAGCGTGGACGTGAGGATGGGACACACCTTGTTTGGTGCGTTTGGGCTTTTCTGTGAGTACTTTCTCTGTTTAAATCATAGTTTTCATAGATACAACTTTTTAAATGCCAGAAGTTAATAGTTTCTGTCAGTTTGATGATGTTTCTCACTTTATTTTAGCGCTGAATATTCTCCTCTACTGTGGACACGCTCAAGGTTTCTATACAACTTTCTTTATTTTGATACCTTCACTCAAGACGACTCAACACCTTTTATCTCTATTTTACATTTAATATTTCTCTTTAGTTCATTTATGATGAATACAAGACAGAAGACAAGATTCATTCTTTGCATGTTGTGTTTGTTTCTAAATGCTTTGCTGCATATTGAGCCAAACTGGTCCCCTTTATTTACTGGAGAGAAAGTTACCTTCATATGTGACTCAAGGGAAGGAAACGACACTGACTGGAATTACTCATTCAGGAGTAACTAAATGAGTAGTAACTGAATGAATAATTGACAATTTATAAATTAGTTATTGATTAATTATTGATAACACAAGTGGATCAAACACATCAGCAGAGTGTGGCGCCTCCTTCAGGTGAAATGTTCTCATTACTCAGTGAACATTTTATTATTTATTACAGGGAGACTGACTTTGACATCTTCTTCTGTCTGCAACTTTATGTTAAATTATAATTTTGTAGGAAAGATAAATTGTTCATTGTTCATTTAATGAAACTGATTTAGTAAAGCAAAGAAGTAACTGTTACACAGACAGAGATGTGATCCTTTAACTCCTGCGTCCTCCTTGTATGAAGGAGAATCAGTGACTCTTCACTGTCGACATGGAGACCAGAGAAAGGAGAAGAATGCTGACTTCTACAAAGACAAAACACTTATTGAGATGGACACAAACCATCAACACACACATGAAATCACCATTTCTCTGATGTCTGATGGGAGCTCTTACAAGTGCAGATTTAAGGACAAAGAATCTGAAATAGAATATTTGAAATGTGAGATTAGTTACTATGTTTAAAGACATTGTACCCAAACACCTGTTTAACACATGAAGACAGATAAAAAGATGGAGGACATCAGCAGTGACAGTAATCCACCAAGGACTCATCATAACACGTCTTTATTCTGTCAAACCTCTATCCAACAGATCCTCGTCCTGTCCTCACAGTGTCTCCATCATGGACGAGTCCTGGAGACTCAGTGACTCTGACCTGCAGTGTTGAACATCCGTCTGCAGGATGGAGGTTCTTCTGGTATAAGGCTGTTCCCAAAGGGTCAATCTACTACAACTTTAAGCTTCTAGCTCGGGGCACCACTGGGACTGAACAGGATTCCTACATTCTTCATGGACAGACACACACAGCAGGATATGTGTGCAGAGCTGGAAGAGGAGATCCTGTGTTTTACACTCAGTATAGTGGTGTGAAGTTTGTCTGGTCTGGAGGTGAGTTTGTTCAGACTTTTATATTCTTGCACAAGGGAATAAATGTCCTTTTTGTGTTGACATTGTTTGTCCTGTGTGTGTCTCCTAATGATGTGTCTTCAGGTGTGAATCCAGCAGCGTCTCTCACAGTGAGTCCTCACAGACTGCAGCACTTCAGCACAGAGTCACTGTCACTGATCTGTGAGGGAAACTCTGCTGAGTGGAGAGTGATGAAGGCTGATGAAGATGGTGACAGGTCACCCTGTTCTTTCTGGGGAGAAATGACTGGATCCACATGCAACACCAACACTAGAGCGAGTAGTGGAGTGTACTGGTGTGAGTCTGTAACACAGTTCAGCAATGCAGCCAACATCACTATACACAGTGAGTTTATATTCATTTAAAGGTTTTTATATCTAAAGTATTTACACATCTTATTACAGAGTGCTGACATTTTTAAGGTGACTTCATGATGAGTTTTATTCAATATTTATTTCAACAAACGGTTCAACAATCTTAGTTTGTAAATCCCTGATATCTTGTATCATTTGATTAAAAGATTTCCAACCATCTACAAACTACTTATCCTGCACACAGGGGGGCTGGAGTTTATCCCGGCCAAGTTTGGGCGATAGACAGGGTTCACCCTGGACTGTTTGCCAGCCAATCACAGGGCTAACACAGAAACACAACCATTCACACACCTACAGGTAATTTAAAGTTACCGATCAACCTGATCCCCAACGCATGTCTTTGGACTGTGGGAGGAAGCTGGAGTACCCAGAGAGAACCCACACAGACACAGAGAGAACATGTAGACTCCACACAGAAAGGCCACTGGGCGTAGTCGAACCAAGGACCTTTTTGCTGTGAGGCGACAGTGATAACCACCACACCACCGTGCCGCCTTTGAACTGATTTAGTAAAGTAAAGAATAACTGTTACACAGACAGAGATGTGATCCTTTAACTCCTGCGTCCTCTTTGTATGAAGGAGAATCAGTGACTCTTCACTGTCGACATGGAGACCAGAGAAAGGAGAAGAATGCTGACTTCTACAAAGACAAAACACTTATTGAGATGGACACAAACCATCAACACACACATGAAATCACCATTTCTCTGATGTCTGATGGGAGCTCTTACAAGTGCAGATTTAAGGACAAAGAACCTGAAATAGAATATTTGAAATGTGAGATTAGTTACTGTGTTTAAAGACATTGTACCCAAACACCTGTTTAACACATGAAGACAGATAAAAAGATGGAGGACATCAGCAGTGACAGTAATCCACCAAGGACTCATCATAACACGTCTTTATTCTGTCAAACCTCTTTCCAACAGATGTCCCTCGTCCTGTCCTCACAGTGTCTCCATCATGGACGAGTCCTGGAGACTCAGTGACTCTGACCTGCAGTGTTGAACCTCCGTCTGCAGGATGGAGGTTCTTCTGGTATAAGGCTGTTCCCGAAGGGTCAATCGCCTACACCTATGAGCTTCTAGCTGGTGGCACCACTGGGACTGAACAGGATTCCTACATTCTTCATGGACAGACACACACAGCAGGATATGCGTGCAGAGCTGGAAGAGGAGATCCTGTGTCTTACACTCAGTATAGTGGTGTGAAGTTTGTCTGGTCTGGAGGTGAGTTTGTTCAGACTTTTATATTCTTGCACAAGGGAATAAATGTCCTTTTTGTGTTGACATTGTTTGTCCTGTGTGTGTCTCCTAATGATGTGTCTTCAGGTGTGAATCCAGCAGCGTCTCTCACAGTGAGTCCTCACAGACTGCAGCACTTCAGCACAGAGTCACTGTCACTGATCTGTGAGGGAAACTCTACTGAGTGGAGAGTGATGAGGGCTGATGAAGATGGCAAGAGGTCAATCTGTCCTAACTGGGGAGAAATGACTGGATCCACATGCAACACTGACACTACAGCGAGTAGTGGAGTGTACTGGTGTGAGTCTGAAACACAGTTCAGCAATGCAGCCAACATCACTATACACAGTGAGTTTATATTCATTTAAAGGTTTTTATATCTAAAGTATTTACACATGTTATTACAGAGTGCTGACATTTTTAAGGTGACTTTATGACACACGTGTTACAGTCTGAGTGAGAAAAGGTGTCACTGAATTAGAAGTTATCTTAAGATAAACTATTTGTTTGTGTGAGACAATATAGTTTTAAAGATGTTTATGTTCAGTAAAAACACATAATATTAGAGATGTAACATGACCAGCAGTGAAAGGTGAATGTTGTGTGATCAAGGGTTCATGTTTGTGTATTTGAGTGTGTGTGTTGTAGTACTTGTTTAGTACATATTGTTGTAGTACTTGTTTAGCACTACAACACATTAGTACCTGTGTTTTTACTAGTTTTCCTTTGTTTTAAGTATGTTTTTCTGGCTCTGTGACACTCTGAGATCTGTTGATGAAGAGTGTGTTATAAATAAACTGTATTATTATTGTTACTTGTGTATGTCTTCATGGTTGGTGTGTACTTGTGTGTAGATCCTGAAGAAGCAGCATCAAGCTCTGTGTTTCTCGTGCCGTTGGTTGTTGGTCTGGTTTCTGGAGTTTTACTGATTATTCTCCTGCTGCTGTTTCTGCGTCGCTACAGAAAGTCAGAAGGTGAGATCTTTTCCTTCTGATATCAGACTGATTTCACTGAAATAAGTCAAAGTCACAGATATTATTACACACACTAATTAATGATCAATGTGAAACCTTTTTCTTGCAGCTTCAAGCCTCAGCAGGTTGGTACAAGCCTCTCTTCTCTCACTCTGAACATGGCAGCAGGACTTTACATGTTCCTCATTAAATCCTCTGTATTTACTTCATGTTTTGGACCCACAAGGTCTCAGAGGACCAATCAGAGCGCAGCTACAGACCACATGATCAACCAGGGTGAAACTCAAGACGGACATTACGCTTCTCTTCTTCCTGGTCAGCTTTAATCCTGATTTATTTAATAATGTTTTCTTAACTTTAATGCTAACATTTCCATTTCTGGTTATCTGTTTGAGAAGATTCTATAATTGATACAAAGTGGTTCAAATGATTGATACGACCTCGTCTTTATCCTCACTGCTCTGCAGGTGATTCTTGTCTCTATGAAGCAATCGGAGGCTCTGAAGAACCTGAACATGGTGCAGTAAATCCTGTGTGTTCATCACACAGCTGTTAAAATACTAGAATCAGATGATCAAGTGACTGGTTGACCTTTAAATTAAAGACAAAGTGTATCGATGATGTCACAGATTCTGTGTTTGAGCTTATAGACATTGATGGTTCATGTGAATACTTCTATAAGGGAACAAGCTGCAGTAGTTGAGATGCTTCTGTAGGCCAGCAGAGCTTTAATAAAGGAGAATAAAGTGTCTCTTCATGCATTCATCTGATCCTTCTAACAGGGACGAATGATGAACCAGAGGAGAGCGTTTATGAAAATGTGAGGATGGAAACAGCTGCAGGTACTTCAAGTACAACAGACCATGTAGTACAATCTGAGTGTACTTGTGTATTACTACCAGCAGTCAGCAAAGGTCAATCACAACACTTACACCTGTTACTCTTAAATAACCTTTAATCTCTTTTATCAGATGGATAAAAACATCTGCATGGACAGAACCAGGGGAACGGATGACGACATGAAAAACCACATCTTTGTCTTTCTGAGTAATTATTGTGTCAACTTCTTCTTTCCTGATATGAGACAGTATTTTGTAGTTAACCCATGAAAAGATGATTTAAAGGAAATACATCATATGTTTTTAAAAGTTTTTTATTACATTTACTTATTAAAATGTTTGTGTTGAGTGTTTACTGTACATATCATTTCATCTCCTCAGTCACTTTTTTTTAAAGCTTTTTTGAAGGCTGGTTCGGAGGCTTGTTTGAAAAACGGAAAAAAGTAGTTTGACGTCTTTGAGCTTCAGAACGTTGGTGATTTTACTCAATATGAAGTAATGGTTTCATTTAAACGATTAAAGTAAATGTTTATCTTTGTCTTTTTAAGAGTTTTAACAGGTGCTGTTTGTATTTTATCTTAACCGGTTTGTGTTTAACCTTTTTATGCATCAATAAACTTCTAAACAGTGTTTCCTACAGTCATTTCTTTAATAAAATTAATATTAGAGATTACAGGGAACGTATGTCCACATGCTCCTCCTGCATCACATTAGTGAGATTCATCCAAACAAAATTCCTATATTGTATATATATATGAATATAAAATATACTTTATATATATATCTATGGGTGCATGACATGCTGCTCTCCATGAGTCAGGTGCAGAGCGCGGGTGACCATTCCCCTTAAGGATGGCGCGTGCTTCTGCGTCTTTACGCACCGTTGTGTCGACGCACTCGTTTCATATCATGGTCCTAAAAGTCTTGCGTGTGTTGCAGAGCAATTCACCTCCAGAACAACAGGTGGAGTAACGTGTTTTTGTCGAAGACGACCTAGAGAGTCACGTCTTTGTGTGGAAGTCGTTGGTTTGTTTATTTATGTATCATAGACTTTATTGCCTCGTGCATCGACACTGCTGCTTTTCATCGCGGACACATTTGTCCCGTATTTTCCTCCACAACTTTGTTCCCCTCGACCGGCAAACCGACGTTTGCGGAGATCTCCCTCCATGAATCAGAGGCCATGTGCGTGTCCTCATAGTCCGCCAATGACGGGAGGCTCGCGACGCTTCTGACGCAAGTCTAGAAAAATGGGTCGACGGGAGGTGTGAAAAGACGCGCAAGGGGCTCGTGTGCAGGTCCTTGTGTCTCTCTGGAAACGCAGAAGCATAAACTAGGCCTCATACGTAGTGGAGTCATCAGTGACATGTGACTCCATGACATGAGGCGCAACAGCGCCCCCTCCTGGACAAATAATGTTCATACACCCACTCTCAACAGCGGACCACTGCATGTTCCCCAAGCAACACGGGTCCGGCCCGGAGCTCCTGAAGACGTCTCTGCCCCCCCCGCTGGTTATGAGGTGAGGAGTGAGCGGGTGCGAGTGTCCGTAGTGGAGTCGCCTCAGCCGGGGCTTCGCGGCCCCCTCGCTGGAGGGTCTCGAAGAAACTTTTCAGAAAATCTTCAGAGGCTCAGAGCGAACTCTGTTTTATTTACTTCAGAACAAAAATCTGATTATAAAGAGTTACAGAGAAAACAGGATAACAGTCTCAATTCTGAACAAAAACGGATAAAAGTGTCAAGAACCTGGAAAAACGGTCAGACTCGTTGCTCAGGCAGGTCTTGATCTACAGCTTCTCTATCAATTCAATTTCAATTCAATTCATTTTATTTTGTATAGCCCATAATCACAAATTACAAATCTGCCTTAGAGGGCTTTACAGTCTGTACACATACAACATCCTCTGCCCCGAAACCCTCCATCGGCACAGGAACAACTCCCCAAAAAACGAAAAAAAAACCTCAGAGGGAAAGAAGGGAAGAAACCTTAGGGAGAACGTCAGAGGAGGGATCCCACTCCCGGGATGGACAGACTACAATGGATGCCATGTGTACAGAATGAACAATGTATAATACATGCAATTCCTATGACAGAAATGATTCAAGTAACTGTAGTAAGCCAGGCGCACAGCAGGACCACTGCAGGGACAACCACCATCAGATAGAACCACCATCCACAGAAGCCTGTGGGGAGGGAGAGCACAGAGACTTAAGGAGAGGGTAATGTTGGTTTACGAGTACAGTGATATGATTAATATCTAAAATAATAATGATGATGGCCGCAGCAGGCGTCAGCAGGGCCACGGCAGGTGTCAGGACCAGAGTCCCGAAGGAAACACCGTCTCCGGTCCAACAAACTCCCGTTCTCCGGTCAAACTGTCCCTTTTATAACCCCAGAAAGACCGGATTCATGAAAGTCCTCAAAGAAGCACTGAGAGGGAAACAAAACCTTTAAGGCCTCTGAGGCCATAAACAAGTGTCCACCTGTTACTTAGGATCTCACCTCTTTTCAGAACTGCTGTCACTTCCGTCTCATCAGGATTCCTCATTTTTGAACACAAACATATATTTAGTGTTTTAGTTTTAGGTGGCATGCTCGATCTTACGTTTCCCACAGAACGATGTGATACCAGCAACATGCAGATAGGACTCATCAACGGTGCGTCATCCAGGTGATTCCGGAGGTAGATACTCAGTAGCAACAAAGGCTGACTAGTTAACAATCTAAGATAATTCACAATAAAAATTCATAAAAAAAGGAAAGGGGCACCAGCCTGAAATATCAAACAACCCAGTTCAATGCGGTTCATTTTTTCTTTATGTTTTCACTTTGTCTTGCTCCGTTTTATTTGGGTCAACAGAAACACAGAAATGGAGAGTTGTCTTACTTTTATTGTGATGGTCTTATATTCAGTTACGGATTTACAGGTGCTGTGGCCCCAGGTAAACACGTGACTCTGGTCCCTGGTCGAACTTCACGTTCCTCACAATGGAGCGACCTATAACCAGAGTTGGCTTCTGTGTCGCTGAGTGGGGAGAAGCGGTGTGAAACGGGAAAAGTGGTTGGTGGTGAACCGTGTGCTTCGAGACTCGAGCTTACTCCGGACAGTCAGCAGCCTCCCTGCTGGGGGGGTTGCCGGGGGACGGCTAGCAGGAGCTAACGACTGAGCTTCCATGGAGCCGTGCTTCTACCTCACTAGGCCTCGCCTCCGACATATCAAATATACTACATTACATGTACCACGCAAGGGAGGCAGAGGAATAGCTAAACATGTGACAGACCGAACGAGAGAGAGCAGGAGAGGGAGGGAAGACGTCACTAGGTTAGCTGCAAAGCTAATGTAGCTAATGCTAGTGGAACTAGTGTCGATGCTAAACAACGGCTAAGTAATTATTTGATTAAATGAAACGTTGCTAGAAGATGGACGGGTGTGCGTGTTAAACGACACGTCAGATAGATAACAGTTTCCCGCTTGTACTGATAAATATTAGACACAATCTGTGAAAGTTTGATGGCAACAGGAAGTGAAGCAACACGCCTCACCGCATAGACGCTGCTTCTGATTCCTAATATGATAAATACTTTTACACTGTCACATTTCATGAGGCGAGTGCATCACTAAAGACTATTTCTATAACCAGAGTGTGAGCTAACGTGAGCCTGATCCCTGTCTTTCAAATTGATCCTAGCAAGATCAATAGCAGAAACTAAGCTTAGTATCGATACTTTTGGTATTGATCTTACCAAGTAGAGAGAAAAATGACATCCTCTTGACCATCATGTATCACTGTGAGACACCTACGAGTCCTCCTTTAGTCTGGGACTCAAGGGCGTAGGTTTGTTCTCAGCATTCGTAAGTAAACTACGAGACCCCCACCATACAAAAAAAACCCTAATGTTGATATTAAGTTGAACAGGTAAACTTTAATAATATATGCTAACATATGTGTAACTTGGCACGGAGTTTAATCTTAGTTTAAATATTAAATGGTTTTCTACTTTAAATAAAAAATAACGACTAATGAAATGATCAGAACAGAATCAGAATCTCCCCGTCAATTCCAAAGTATGATTCAATGGCATCAGAGTTTCTCCCTATCTGGTTGTTTAAACCTTTCTCTAAACTGCAAATCCGAGGTGTCTGACAACTTCCCCAAACGGCCTTCAATTTCATTTTTAATGCTGGTGATAAAAAAAAAGACTGATGGTCCAGCTGCTGCTTCCTCAACCTGCACTACGTCTGCTTTGGATTTCTGAGTTTACCGAATGCATTTCAAGATAATGCCTTAATTAACTAAATGACTTAATGAGAAGTACATGCAATGCATTAGTTTATTCTTAAAGATGTTTAATACATAAGTAATTGGTTCATGTTTTATGGAGCTTTACTAGGCATAAATCATCTGTACTGGATTTCTGAGAACTTGAATAATTTATGAATTATATAATGTATTAAATAACATTTGGGTCATCCCAAATAATTCTTCAGATAATAGCCAGTGTGAACAATAACACTCATGGGTAACATTGTCTTAACATCCCTTAGAAAACAGCAATTCAAGGCAATGTTTACCAAAATGGACAATTTGGTGTCTCACCTGAACCCTTGATGCTGATGCATCACCAACTGCTCTACATCTGTAGCTTCAGGCTGATGTTTTTCCTGCACATTACAGACACAGACCGTGCTTAGTTTACCGCTGACATTGTTCGAGATTAAAGGGAACAGACATAACCTTATTACTCTCCCAGGGAATATAAAAGCCTAATTATCACCAGTTAATATTACTTTTGAGTTGCTAGCCTGCTGGTTCTGGGCTAAAATAACATGGTCCCATTATGTGGGTTTGTTAGCTTTATCCTTCTGCCGTCAACAAGGCAGCTGCTTCTAACGCAATGGACCAATCCATCTCCAGTGGTGTCCTTCTCACTACGCCACAGTAGCTGTGGGCACTTTGCCAAAGTCACGGTTATGTTAACAAAAAGTATGATAGTAATGTAAGCGTCTATGGTTTAGTCTGTGAATTTGTATTGTTTGTATTTTGAAGTATGTTGTCAGGCAAAAGTGTAGAGATGTGGATATGTTTGATTTCACTTCAATTGTAAATAAATTGTTGTTGCTTGAGAAGACGCTCATCCTTCTGGACCTCTCTGCTGCATTTGACACGGTCAACCACCAGATCCTTATTTCCTCCCTTCAGGAACTTGGTGTCACAGGCTCTGCTCTCTCCCTTCTCTCGTCCTACCTCGACGGCCGCACCTACCGGGTAACCTGGCGAGGATCTGTGTCGGAACCTTGTCCTCTTACTACTGGAGTTCCTCAGGGTTCCGTGCTGGGTCCCCTCCTGTTCTCGCTTTACACCAACTCTCTTGGCGCTGTCATTTGCTCGCATGGCTTCTCTTACCACAGCTATGCTGATGACACCCAACTAATTCCCTCCTTCCCTCACTCGGACACCCAGGTGGCGGCTCGGATCTCTGCCTGTCTAACTGACATCTCTCAGTGGATGTCCGCCCACCATCTGAAAATCAACCCCGACAAGCCT